TAATGTTTTATTACAATAACTTGAAATATTTATTTATAACTTCAAAATAAGATAAATTTGTTGGTTCTACACATGAAACTAGACGCCCTGTATAATTCGTTATCACCAGTAAGTTCATCACTATCTTAATTAATTTTTAGATTCTTCAAATTAGTATTAATTACTCTTCCACAAAATCACTTTTTGTTGTTCGTAACAATGTTGTTTTTTTCTAAATTTTACATATAAAAATTTTAATTATATTTCTAATGAAAATTGATAAGAGATAGCAAGTTATTAATTATCATTAAGTACCTATTATTCGATTTTTTACCCAGACTAGAATTTTTTGTCTCAATTGTATTTATGTATTCTGTTATTGTAAATACGTCACAACAATTATTTTCAGCGGATTTTTACGAAAACTTGTGGTTTTTAATTTTAAAAATATATTACTTTTATAAATTATATTGCAGTAAATTACTGTTGTTTAGAAGATAAGAGGAAATGCAAGTTAATAAAGCGCAATTCATTGTTTATTTGCACTAGTTTTAAACTATGAAATAAAATTACAGTTATCTTAGGCCCTCGTCATTTTACTGATAACAACAGGTACTTTAATAATTGTGATTTCTATGCAGTTGAATATCTAAATAAATAAATCATACTTAATTATGATAATTAGAGGTAGAATATGTATAGCAATTACTATTGAGGATGAGCTTAAATTCGGTTTGCATCTAGAGAAAAAGCTATGTACTTATTTCAACTACTTTTACCATAAGAGCATTAATTATTATGAATTAAATCTTATACTAAGTTCTCTTTTCGTAAAATTATAAAAAATAACAGATAAAATGTTGAACGTCTTTAATGAAAAAACTGTACAATATCAAAATATTACATTTATATAAGATTAATATTTATGAAATATTCTAGATTTTCAATAATGTTAATTGCCTTTCGCTGATATCTTTAACACTACAATTGTTTGACTTCTATTAAAAGCATACAGTATTCAAATATCACAATAAAAATAGAGAGCTATAATTTATCACTTAAATATGAGAGAAGAATAGTTCAGAGTTGTCGCTAATACACATACATCCAATTGCATGAAAGTCCGCCTCCTAGATAATAAAATGATAATAACCAAGTGCGAGTGTGTAGTGGAAAGTGGATTCGTCCCCACTTCTGAGCGACTACTGTCATGTAACCACCAAGCTGTCCTAAATTCCAGTGAATTTCGAAAAACAGCTATTTGATATACGACAAAGCAAAAACTAATAGTTTTTCTAGTGGTAGGTGTCGAGGAAATTGTAGTTTATAATGAGTTTTGACGATTATGAAAGCATACCGACCGAAAATATCCTTGTTCATATGACTGCCGGAGCCATTGCCGGGGTTATGGAACATTGCATAATGTACCCCATAGACTCAGTAAAGGCAAGTGATTGACAATTTCGTATTAAGTTTTCTTGTAAAATTTATTATTGGAGAAGAATGCTCATTTACTAAACGGTTGTCACTGCCTTCAACTAATGCTTCATAGTGAAATTTTAGGTTAGGTTGACGTTACTTTTTTACAGACAAGAATGCAATCTTTATCACCAGAAGCAAAGAAACAGCCTACTACAATAGTTGGTACATTAGTAAAAATGGTTAGACAGGAAGGAATTCTCAGGCCAATAAGAGGCTTACCTTCGATGGTGTTTGGGGCTGGCCCTGCACATGCAGTTTATTTTAGCAGTTACGAATTCAGTAAAGAATTATTACTTAGGTTTTTTCATTCAAGCAAATACAACGCACTTGCATACGGTAAGAACCTATTTGCAACTTAAATCATTTAGAAAGAAAGTAAACTTGAAAGTGAGGTGCTGTTTGGTAACCTTGAACTCATATGCATTTTAATTAATGACATGCATCACCTCAGAAGTATCATAATGTCTTTGTTACGTGAAAGAGTTACAAAATTGGAATATATTCTAATATGATATTGAAAAACACTTGTTTATCTCAGACAGAACAGACTAAATATATATGTAAATAAGAGGCAACACATTTAAAATTTACATATGATTTATCATTTGTAATAAATATTTATAAGAATCCTAACAAGCTGATAAATTTAAAAAATATTAATTGCTTTTAAAGTTCCATTTTTATGTTAAAACAAATTCGCACTTCAAAAACAACAAATAATTTACCTTGGAAGTGGGTTTTTGATTTGAAGTAGTACGTTTTTGATATAAACTAATTTTGTATCCCACTTTGTAAAATAACATTTTTACACGAACTAGAGATAAAAATTAATCAATAATATCCGTTTGACTCTTTAAAAAAAAGTTATTAGTTTTATGCATAAAGTTTGCAGACTATATACTTTGTATATAAGCAATTATCATTAACTAAGACAGTGGTACAATTCAATATAGGTTTATGTTACAATTGTACAGTTATTTTTACATATTTTTATTGTTCTTAGCCAGTTATCGATTTTAAAACATTACAATAGAATGTTCGACAACAAACGTGAATATTTGCGTTTTTTTTTTATTGTAAACAACTTATCATTCTAATTTTCTTCACTTGCAAAACACGATATGGAAAGAAATTGTTTGAAAATAAACAGGAAATATGATAAACCATTCACTTTGTATTGTAAATCTTTTAATAACAATGTTTCACTCTAGTAATATGTAGGTATACTAACTGATATCTTTTAGGTGTTGCGGGTGGTGTGGCAACTGTTATTCATGATGCTGTAATGAATCCAGCAGAAGGTAATAAATTTTGTTTTTTTTTTTTAATTATATTTTATTTTTATTTTTAATGATTACAATACTTTAAGCTAATGTGTAAAATAATATTCGTAACAAAAATTAAAAATTTAGGCAACACTAAAAATCGGCAAGAAATTAACAATTTTAAAGAGCGTTAATTTTTAAAAGTTTTTTTTTTGTTGATATCCAAAAGTGCTCAATAAGCATTATGTATTAATTTATTGGGAATTTATTTCGCCCATTTACTCAGTGTTATAGTACTTCATTAATAAGGGGCTGACCATAACAACGCTAATTGGGGGACGGGTGGTCCAATGAAATATATTGATAAGAATTATTATTACAAATGCAAAATGAAATTAATTTTTAATATTGTTTTTGCAGTAGTGAAGCAAAGGATGCAAATGTATGGTTCACCGTACAAATCGGTAATTCATTGTATCAAGAAAACTTATCTAAACGAAGGACTGCGAGCGTTTTATCGATCCTATACCACGCAACTTGTCATGAACATCCCCTTCCAAAGCATTCATTTTATGGTGTACGAATTCACTCAGTCTATCATGAATGAGGAGCGCAAGTATAACCCCCCAGCGCATGTAGTTAGCGGAGCGATGGCAGGTGCTGTTGCAGCCGCTATCACAACGCCTCTTGATGTTTGCAAAACCCTCTTAAACACTCAACAGGACGGTAAGGTTCACGACATGTTTGGCGCGGTAAAAACAGTTTATCGCTTGGGGGGGTCTAAAGGTTTTTTTCGCGGAATCCAAGCAAGAATAATGTTTGTAATGCCTGGAACTGCCATTTGCTGGTCGACTTACGAATTTTTCAAATATATACTGGGTGCTACACCACACGAAGGTCCCATATTGACAGTTGCATCCGAAGATGATCCTCCATTGAATATCAAGGAACCACCGGCCAAACCCGACAATATACACTTAAGCACGGAAAAAATTAATCTACTCCCTAGAGAGTTACCCGCGATTTCAGGGGGTAACTTATACGGTTCCATCTCATATAATACAATGCACACAGCGGATACAAGTTTTAATACACGACGCGGAGACAATGTAATGATCAGTGTGACGCCACAAGTTTCGTAGTATTGCGCACGGTGCCTGTTGTGTTTTTGTTTATTTTACAACTTTCTTTATAGTTTGTACCGTAAGAGTAATTCTATTTTTGGAATTGTACAAATTGTATATGATGTAATTAGGCACATTTTATCATATAGCTGCGTTTAAGATTTTTCGAATATGAAGATTCGGAGAGTGCCGAAAAAGTTTTCCACTCCAGTAATGGAGGGGAAGGATTGTTTTGTAAAAATTGTATTTTGTCCAGCAGAGTGATATATTAAAGTATTATTTACTTATACATCGTATTTGATATTCTAAATGGAACGTTACAGTAAATGAAACTATAAATTGATAAAACTAATAAACCAGAAGTTTCCAAGTTTTTCAAGTTGATATTTACAACATTATGTATAAGTAAATATACTTTGTAAATAAATTGCGGATTTTAAGGAAATAGGCTACATGTACACATTTCCTCGTTTATTTCGTGTTTTACTACATATTTATATGAAGTGAAATACTTTAAAAATAGTCTCTGCCCTGATTTTAAAAAATTTGGTATGGTTTTAATCACTTTGAAATCTTGGTGTTTCTTATTTGGAGATCTGTAAGTATTTTTAATATCGTTAATTAGTATACATTAAAAAGAAAGCAATAGTTCCTGCCCCTCCTATATTAAATACAAAGAAAAACAGTAAATGACCTGTAAAATAATAAGGTTTCAAGGTGAAGAGCCAGTCTGTGGGATAACGTACTTTCTTTATGATGGTTCATTTTGGTCATAAATATTTGTACTATTTGTAATGTTTTCTTAGTATGTTCGAAAAAATTATCAGCGCTATTTTGAATTTTGATTGGAAATCGTAAGGTACATGATATAAATCTGATAAAGAGATCTAATGAAAAATGCAATATTTGAAAGATGTATTATTTCAGCGCATATTGTTAAATAGGCACCTTTAGTCAGTATTTCATATTACTTTAGTTGATAACATTTTTTTTCTTTTTTCAAAAATTTCTAATTCGCGTTTATCATGTATTTTTTTTATGTACACATAATTTTTCTAATTTATTTCTTGTCTCCCTTTTTATACGTAAGCGACCATCACACTGCACTGAATCTGCTTTCTAATTATACATTCATACTTTAATTAATGAAGCTTTATAAAAAAAACGAGATAAACTTTATTGAATGCAACACATACAGTACTAATTTGTTGAATTATTTGTATGAAATATGTAAATAACACAGCTCAGTTATTGGCGGATTAAAAATGCTGGCCATAATCTGTTACATAGATTTATAAATATTTTTAGTCATTTCGTAGGAATTTGTTCAATAGAGAAGGATGACCACTGGGCAACATTTTGTGAACTAATTACACAAACGTTGACAATAACATGATCTAGATTATGCTCTTATTAAAGATAAAGAAATGATATATGTGAATTGGTTTAATTATTAGATGTTGCAGCAAGTGGTTTACATTCTTTTACTCTTTACTTATCATTTACAATTACAGTGTTGAAACAGACATGGCAAATTGAGGCCATTGATTTTATAATTTAATTTAAGAAATTTAACAGGCTGTGATAAAGTCCTTATCATTATGATATTGACTTCATTCAGATGGAAGTATTATCATATCGTTACATTTTAAAGTAGATGCCCAACCAATGTGGGCAACTATAACTATGTGATAAGGTATCTTTGTCACTGAAAAATGCAGACTTTTTGTTATGGTTTGATTATTTTCATAGAAATATATAATAATTCATACCGAAATATAAATTTTTTTATTTAGTACTATTTGTAACAAATGCAATTTTTTATTTCTGATAAATCATAAGATGGCTCATGTCAGTTTTCAATTAATAAATTGCTGTAATGTATATCTGTTAAATTTACTTGACTGAAAATTATCATTTACAAAATTTTTAATATTTTCGGAGGAATTGCTTAAAATGTCTGCACGACCTGGTGGAGGTCCATCTAAATTACCTGAGAGATCTCGTATAAGTGAGTGTTACTTTTCATCATGTAAAAAAAATCAAACGCCACTGTATATTGGTAGGTATTACAAATTTAATTAAGAAATAATCACTACTACAAGGTTATCTCACTTTTTTGTTTATATAACTTATTCCACAAACTTTATGCATAATGTCACAATAAGTTTTTTACATCTTTTCAGCAAACAAAACTGTTGTCGTGTGGTATTATGATAACTAACCGTTTATTTTAAAAAATCAAAAACTTGGTTTTATTACTTTGAATACCTCTGTAATGCAATATCAGATACTGCTCTAATCCTTTAATGATTGACATGCTCATGCCATGCTAAACGCCATGTAGGTACCCATATAATTCAAAATTGCATACTAGATTCTATGTACTTAATACATTAAGATTATCAAGTTATGATTAATAATAACCAACCTTTTTTTATTAATAATATTCTGATCTGTTCTTTAATGTATAATTTTATAAATCTCATTGTCAGTAAAGGATTAAATATAAAAAAATGTGACGTACCTATTTATTTCTAACACAAAATGTGTTATAGTTAGTTATAATTTTCGGACAATAAAAAGTAATTAATAACATAAACTTACTGTGAATTACCTTTGATGCAGAATTTAAAGAAAAAGATGCTTTGATAAATATGCATATTCATCAAGTAAAAAACTTTTCTCCACTGAACACTATTGTTATTGTTTATGTACAAATAAACACCGACTTAAACACTATAATTACACGCTACTTTCTTTCACAATGTCACGTATTATTTTAGAAGAATGAAATGCTCCACTTTTTCTTAATAAAAAAGAATAAATTTTATCGGCATTTCAAAGCTGCTGACGAAACCACATCCCCGCAGTTTCCTTGGGTTAGTCACGTAGGCCAATCTGTTTTCATTCGTAGATTTCAAGGACTCTAATGATCAGCTGATTGTCATTGGTTCAACTGTTTGCAAAATTTAAAGTTATGTTTTCTAACATTGTTTTTTATTTATTTAAAATGTTTTAAAAGATAAGGTAAGCGCAACATTTTTAACGATTTAATAGCAAAAATAATTATATTCATACAACTGTTTAAATTATTATTAGATAGGTAGGAACATAAGGAAATGGCATTTCACATAGACATACATGTATAGGTATTTTTAAAAAACGTTTGCAATTTGTAGCGGTAAGGATGTTGCATTTAAAAATTGATATTAATCGCCTTTTCAGTTAGAATAAAATATTTTCCCCTAAGGATGAAGGTATTCAACATTGCAACCTTAAAATGCTGGAAGTAATGTATCTATATTAAAAAAAAAGTCCTTTAAGTATGTTGATTATCGATTAATTTTATGGGTGACATTAAGTGAGTTAATTTAAATGAGGGAGAAACCATAATTGATTGTATGTTAATAGTTCATTGTAATAGGTCAAAGACAGCAGCCGACCTGTCCTGTAGGACAACCTGCAGGATCCGTGCAATCACGCCGTCCTAGTACCAGTTCAGCTGTTGCAGCCGCAAGTCGACAAAGAACGTCTGGTACTAAAACGTCCTACCTTCCTACCTCTACTAAATCTTATGGTTATGGTTATGGTGGATATGCAGGTAGACAACAACCACAACCTGCTGTGGCTGCAAAAGTTGTTTGCCCCAAGCAAACTTGTCCTCGTCCGGCTGATTCTAAGACTTCATGTCCGGCTCGCCCATCAACAAGTATGGTGTATTATCACAATAACATTATTTTAAATGCTAAACTAATAAATAACGTTTACTTATTGAGATATTTATGAATTACCGTTTGTTAGGTAAAGGAAGTCAGGGTTCCTTACGACCTTGTTCTGCACCTGGAGGACCACCATGTTCTCGATTATCTCAAAGACCTGCTTCTAGAGGGTCTTCTTCTGGACGGTCTAGAACTTCAGTTGAACAGACGGATGGAAAACTGGTTAAAAAAGTGACCAGTACTGTCGAAAAGAGACTTGAACAGCCTCCTTGTCGAAGCCGTGACGGTTCAACGCCTCCCCCAACCCTAGTAACAACAACCACTACCGTCGAAGAATATTTTCAACCAGATCAAGCGTATGTATAGCACAATCTAATTACCCTCATGTATCAGAAAGAAAACGTAACCCTTTGAAAATTAGTAATTAGCAGTTGGAAATATTACATATGAATCTTAATTAAGCACTCATAAAATGTTCTTTCATTTATGATGTTGAGTATCTATCAACCAAAAAAGTACATTATAACGAAACTGTTGCAACTAAGAATAAGGAAAAAATATAGGTACCTTTTGTTTCTAATAACTTACTAAAAAAATTATACTTTGAGAAACATGTAACATTAAGATGGTAACCAATAACAAACTTACAAAGAGACCCTTCTATTTAATCGTTTAAATGGAAGTAGTGTTAAGCAGTATTCGAAAAAGCAGTTACTAATCCTAAGAAAAATTAAATGTAAAATACTAAAATCATTTTTCACGATACGCAGCTTGTAATTGTCGGTTACTTTTATGTAATATTAAAAGATATAATACCTTGTGGAAGTTATTCAAATAATGAAATTAAAAAATATACGTCTACTGTTGAAAGATACCTATTTAAACTGATTTAATTACAGTTTGGATAACCTTTAAAATACATTTATTTTTTCAGGGGTACGTCAGGTGCAGCAAACCAAAAGGTGAATATACTTGCTAGCAGTGATTAATCCAACTTTTATTTTATCTCATTTTAATTGAATATGCGTCTGTAATGTAGTGATTGAAATCTATTGCAGTAATACGATTATTTTAAATTCAGGTTTTAATTTCGTTTTTATTAAAATGTTACCCCATTTGGAGGTCTTATTATATTATTTCTGTACTTAAAAAATTATTTGGATTTGATGTATTTATGGGGAGGATCAAGCTTTAGTGAGGGCTTTAATTACCCCTTTTTCCTCTCTCTAGCTACGACCATGACTAAATTTGCTAATTTTTTCAAATATATATTAAACAAATAGAGCCATTTAAAGAATTTTGAGAAAAAAGGGAGTATTTCGCTATTAACAGCTCAACTTCTAAAAAAAGTTGGTTTATAGGCAACCCTTCTTGCTGTTTGGAACTAATTGCCTAAACTAAGGGAAAGTTACCACAAACAATACTTAACGTAATTATTAGATCAAGGCCTAAATAATTTTCTTAAAAAGTTCGTTTATATTAAAGTAATTACGGAACGATGTTTATTGGTTCGACTTGAGTTTGAATAAATTCGTTCTTTTAATTGCTTTATAATGACAATTTCAATTTGAAGTAAATAATTTGTGTTTTAAAAAATTGATTTGTAACATAATTATTGGTCCTAATTAAAAGAGTAATATTTCAATTTGAAATAAATTTGAATAAATAGTTTTTATAGTATGGTAAAATTTGACAAAGTATCCCTTATATGCGTAATAGAATATAACGGAAGCGTTGGCGATGGTAAAAGAAGAAGATCGTGAGGTAAAAGAAGTCATGCGATATCCACCCCCTTCGATAAAAAGTGCCGCACCTGAAGACTATCCTCTACAGAAAAATCTGGAGCAATTGAAAATACAACATATTTCAATTATGGGTCGAGAGTCACAAGTATGTCTTACTTTCATATCTAAAATATATATTTTGTACACTTAAATACTATAGTGTATTAGCTCTCAGATTAGTTTATGGACCTCAAAGATGTACTTGTAATCTAATAGTAATAATACTATTTTTGATCAAATTGATTAAAAAAAATTAATTCTAGGAGTTGTAATCTGTTTAAAAAATACATTCTGAAAGGGTAGATTGCTTATTTTTACCCATTATTAATTACTTCAGTTGGATTTTTATAGTATAGTAAAGTATAAACTATGACCAATATTATAGATTTGATATTGATGGCTTCTGCGAAGGCAATCTTTCAGTAGTCGAACTCGCATTTGCCTGATTCTTTTGAATTATATGTAATCTGCTCTTGGATAAACAAAAATAATCTACTTTTATTACAAATAGTGTGTCTATCTGCAATTATTCTTTTTTAGGCAAAAATTGAACTTCCTCCTCCAGATGTTCCCACAGAAGAAGTGCAACCAGAAACTTTGGCACAGATAATGTTTACGGAAGAAAGAGGAATGAAAATGGATGCTCCTCCTGATCATTTGGTTGCCCATTTGTTTCCAGATCGTGACGACATGGTGGAAGTAAGGTGGGTGGATAAAAACTTGAAAATTGGCATTGTAATGCATACTATTAACCCATATATTTTTTACCACTTAGCACTTTAAAATAATAACATAAGAATTATAGAGATTTTTTTATTTTGTATATTATTTAAACCGACTTGCTATGAGAAATACAAAAGATTTTTGTAATTTTAACTAGCATATCGAAAAATATACGAAAAAGAACCTCTCCCATTTTATTTTCTTATATTACTGAACCTAAGTTAAAAAGTCAAAGAATATTATAACGCCTTATTTAAAGTTGTTAGGAAAACTAACAAAAACCCTGGATTAAACACATGTTGTGAAATGAATGTTATAAACATATAATTTTATTTACGATCGACTGCAATATAAAACACTATATTTTTAGTTGTATAAATATTTCTGTGTATTCACATTTGCAGTTCTGTGACGCAAGGAACAATGCAAGATGTGGTTGTTCCAACAGCGGTTCCTCCAGCACTTCATTCTTCAGTTCTTAAAAAAGATGATATTCATAGGGCTATGGAAACAGTATCGCAAGTAGAAAAACCAGCAGGTGATATTTTTTCACAATCAAAGGGTGGTGGTTCGGCTCCACCCAATAGTGTAGCTGCTAAACGTACGTATACTCTCGTCAGATGAAGTTTAGAGAAAAAATGTACATTCGTTTTTTTTTTTTTTTTTTAATAAACTCTTTGTTTACAGAAAAAAGATCCGGTAAACCAGTGAAACTTTTGACCGATACGACTCCACCCTGGATCAGTATCGGTAAGTAAAATGGAAATACGAGGCATTTTACAAAGCCGTTGTTACCTCTACCCTAGTGTTTAAGTAGATTACAGAATTATTTCATTTGTTTTGAGAAAAAATTTCGAAATGTTATCAAATGAAAGGTATATATGTTTATATGGGCTAATGGCGGGTACAAAAGGGCGGGAGAGGGGCAGTTTGCCCTCCCAAGAATTCTGTGAAATAGATGAAAAAATGTTGTGTGAGAGAAATCGAATTAGGAGATTTGTCTTTAAAAGTCTTCTCTTAACTGTCCTTATTTTTAATTAAAAAAATATGTAAAAGTTTAACTTATTCCAGAAGCTCCATTCAGAAAAAAGTTAGCTTCTAAACAATCTCCCCTCCTCACTTCTTTCACGATTTTTTAAAACAATAACTGATGTTTAAAGGATTAATGTATAGGTACCTTAGTTTTATAATTAGCAGTGGTCAAACGTGTATAAAATTAAGGGGGTGCACCCCATTCCTACTAGTTAGAAAAGAGGACGAAATGTGTTTTAACCACTTTTTAAGGTAGAACTAGTTCTTGTACTAGCAGAATGTCCTATATTACACTAAATCATTAAGACGACGCGATCAAAAGATAATGAGAATTATCATTATTTAGATTTAGAGAAAATGCAAGATATAATAGGAGCGTCACCAGCAAGAAAAGAAATTACTAAATTAGATGCTTTAGAAGAAACATTAGTTCCCTCTGATACTGATCCTAACAGTTTAGAATATTATTTGGCAATGGAACCACCACGACACCATTCTAGAGTTCAATTAAGAGGAAGTCAGAAACCACCTTGGTTCCCAGGTAAAATAAGTCTTTTCTGCAACGAAAAAAACATTCTTGAAAATTATTAAAGTTAATATTTGAAACTTTCATAGTAAAAAATATTTTGCAAATTATCAACACTTCAAAACTATAATACAATCAAATTAAGTAACATGAAGAAGAAGTGGAGTGTCATTTAAAAAATTGATGAGTGGGACTACTAGAGATAAATAATAAAAAAAAATAGTTTATCTAACGCAGAAAAACTGATTATCCTACGAATAATAAATACCGTGCATGCATGTATATAATATACATCATAGAGGTATACCAATTTATCGTAAATNTCACGGTACTTTCTCGCTAATATCTAAATAAATAATTTAATTTGTGTTCAAAATTGTGTCAAAAATAGCAATCCCCCTTATTTTCAATTTTTGAAATTTGCAGGCCGAATAATCTAAAATAATTCACACAGGTTGGGGGCCTTTGTTAAAATTATAAAAAAAAAACAAATTAGCGAATTAAAGAAATTGTTTTTAAAATTTTTGTATTTGACAGTCAATATAGAATTACGAAATACAAAATATATTGGGGAAATGCCGGTAAGCTAAATAATCATAAAAAAATGAGGTAGGGAACATGAAACTTCTTTATGTTCACATTAAGTATCGTTTTATATCATAACAGTTAAAGTTAATACTTTAGTTAGCAGCAAGTATCAGTAGATGGCGACGTGCTGTTGTAACTTGATATTTTATAGTTAGAAGAAAAACACTTCTTTATTTTTTAGATCTTAAAATTAATAGTAAGGCATATAACGAAAAGATAGACAAAGTTTTAAGTTGTTCAGCTATTCATGCATGTATAACATATAGCAATAACAGCCGCTTACTGATACATACATGTATTTTTTATTGAATTTATTAGGTTAATACTCAAATGTAATTTAAAACATTTAATGCAAAAACAGTATTCGCGGTTATCCGTACTTTATAATGGTAACGTTATAATTTTAATTACTTTTGGGAAGTCTAAGAAAAGTTTGCTGCTAAATGTTTAATTGAAATGCTTACCGTCGGTTTTGCTTTCAAGTTGTACAGGGCAGCTGCCAGATGAAGTTATTATGATGCCGTTTTTGTTTCATACGCCAATCAAGTTTTCCAATCTTTGATCTATTTGTGAATAAAAATAACGGTAATACCTACCGGTAATGGCAGTTATAATCGTAGAATTATAAAAAAAAATTTAATGTAGTAAGGAGCTTTAATTATGTATTAACTCGCCGCATTTGAGGATTTTTTTTTTTTTAAATAATTTGATTTGTAATTTTTCTTTTTCGAATGCAATTAAATTAGATGCATTTCAAAGGCAATATAAATAATAAATTCGCATATATTTTACAAATTTGCTTTCAGGTTATTTGATTGCATTACCTGATATTCCGGAGTGTATAAGACTAGCTAAGTCGCCTAGTGCCGTTTTGGCAGCGGCATGGAAGTCCGTCCAGCCAAAAATATTTGACGAGACAAATATAAGTTTTGCTTGATTTTATTCTCTTGTTTTACAGTAAAAATTATAACGATACAATTTATTTTACTTTCATTGTCACATAATATTTGAATTACAAATCACTATTGTCAACAACAGCATTCGTTTATTGCCTTATTAAAACATTTTTGCCTTAGGTAGGTATATAGCTATTGACCCCTAAGAATTAAAAAAGTCGTGTGGTGTCGTGGGACATCCGCTAGAACGAAGATTCTTATGCTAATCGACAAATATTAATTATAAATTTTGGGCAAGATATTTTGTAAAAAAAAAAACTGATGAACATCTAAAATATGCATTCCGTAAATGTTATCTGCTCACAATAATTTAAAATGGTAGTTTTAGGACTATCGACTGCTACTAACAAGTTAGTTTCCGAAACTTTTTATTGACAATAAAGTTAACATCGGATTTTTTTATATTCAATATTTAAAAATCTTCGGGAACAATAATATTTCGGACGGTGTAGTCGCATGAGATTCCATCTTCATACTAAAAAAATGCAATTTCAAATTAAAAATCGAACTGTTTCATGATTTTTATTTAAGACTGCATAAATTAACTAATTTATTCCACACGTGGACCACACTGTATACATAACAAGCAAACGTACAATACAAATTCGTGTTTGTCTGATCTCTCAAAAGCTTCAAGGCAATTACGACTTGAGACAATGTCCTTTAAATGATTATAATGGATGAGTTAGTGAATGAGTTTGGGAAACATGGTTTATCGGAGCATGTTTTAAAAAACGGTCGGACCTTGCAGGAAACACTCTCTTATATTTATTCGCATGAAGTAATTCAAAAAATTATTGTGCATTTTAAATTCAATCGCAGGGCGTTTTTAGGCGAGAAAACAAAAATATTAATTTTGTATTTAATAACCCGGCTACGTTAATTTAATATACTGTTATTTTTACCTTTTTCTCGCGCCAAATATAAAAGGAAATCATTTCAAAGTGGCTTTTAAACCTAAAAAATATTTTTTTTACGAAATTTCGTGTCCCTAACATCGAATTTACATACAACAGTTTAACAACCATTTAATCTGCTTAGGGAATGAAATACTAACAATCTTTTAGTGGGTGCTTGTTACAAAATTAATCTATCTTTCAAATTTTATGTTTATACCTTTAGTAGTTTCAGTTCTGTGCTTATGGATCAGTCAGATGTACTCATTAATTAATTTATTGAAAATTAAAAAAACACCTATTTCCTTTCTTATTGCACTCCGAGTGCCCTTACGTTCTATAAATAACTCGTCAGTTCTTCTTTTTAGTTTTCATCATCTCTCTCACTCTTGTATTGGATTACATTTAAAGTTGTGATCAGTGAAAACAATTTTGTAGTTCCAAATTACCGGGGTGCACTTTCAGTTTCCAATATAGAAATACTTTTATTTCTTGATAAATTAATTTCTCTCTTATTAAACCAGCTACAGATACCAAAATGTATTCAAATTGTTGTAAAGCATCAGTAAAAAGAATTTTGTAGTTAGAAATTGCCGCTGTGCATTTTTAATTTTCAACCCCTACAAACACGTGGTTTTTGTTAATTGGTAAATTAATTTCTCTGTTACTAAACGAGCTGAAAGTACCAAAATGTAATGTAGTCGTGGGTGGCTAGCAAAATATTTTACAATACAGTGGGTTGGCTATGTGAAAGGTGTCCGCATTTTAAATTCAAATTATCATGATACCTTCTCGCCAAATTAAATGAGCGCGCTGTAGTAGATAAACATAGAAATGTTACCTGTGATTCGAAAATACATGTACCTTCGTGAAATTTTTGCTTGAAAAAGTGCAAGTTCTTGGAGACAAGAAATTTGTGAGTATCGTGTATATTTATGAGGTCGTGAATGGCATTGGTTTTTCGTTTATTGTAGACTATAAACAGTATTCTTTTTTTCAGCATACCGAACAATTTGCCTGTGAAGGAAGATTCCTTACAAGTCATAGTCACAAAAATATTTTGTAAAACAGGTAGGACATTAACATTTTTTCTTATTAAGTATAAAATGAAAACATTATTGTTTTAGTACTGCGAACTATTCGCCTACCCAGTTTTCTCTGAGCGTTTTTGGTGTGGAAGCAGACATTGCTGTGTTGTTATTCTAGATTCTAGAATTGTCTTATCAAATTCATTGATACATTAAAAGGTAAGACTCGTTTTTTTTTCACCTTTTTCTTAAATTTAAAGTTAATTTCTCCCTTAATAAATCAGCTGAAAGTGCGAAAATGTATTAAAGCTGCATTGGGGCATCAGCGAAAAGAATTTTATAGTTGGAAATTACCGGAATGCACTTTCAACTCTTAATTTTAAAGACATCGTTTTCATTTCCTTCTAAATTAATTTATCCCGTATGAAACGAACTGGAAGTAACATAATGCAATAAAGATACAAAATACGGGAGAAATAAAAATTATGTAGCTAAAATATTTTAATATCTTTTTTAAAAACTTAAAAAAAATAGAATTGCTACTGCTACATTGGTGATGAAAATACTTTGCAGTACAGTGGGTTGCCTATATGAAAGACGAGTAATCAAGCTATATTTAGACTATTAAATTCAAATTATCACGGTACTTTCTCGCGAAATTAAATTATATGTATGTATGTAAATAAAGATAGAAAATAATTCATTTGAATTCATTTGGCATATAAAAAACATAACAAATTAGTTATGATTTCACAATACTAAACATTATTGATATAAACGAATATTTTTCACTTTGTTTTGGATATTATTTGTTTAATCTGGGTATTCTTACATTAAGTACCGTACATTACGAGTCTCTATACGATTTCTGATAGAGAAAAACTTATAGCCAAAAGGGGGATGTTCTCCCCCCAATATCTCCTTTAGTTGGCTTTTTCAACTTGTGTTATTAATTAGGAAATATGTTAAAAATAGAGCTCTTTCATTATATCGTGTAAAAACGACTGTAATAATTCATTAGTTAGTTTCTTCATATAGTTAATGTGTAGTTAAGAAATTGTGCATAACATTTTAAAAGATAGTAATTAAAAGACAGGCCCAATTGGTATTTATTATACACCAATAAACATATTTTGAAGATTTATTTCATTCGTGAATCGCGTTTAGATTGACTACATTGTACTTATGTAACGTATCACACGCAAGAATTTTTATGGCCTTTTGTCTTTTTAAAATATTTATCGCTATATAATTGACGTATCACACCCTTCTTTCGTCCCCATTGGAGTGCCCCTTAACTTGAAGTTTCCTTTTATGTTTAATTTTCATCCCTCCCAATTATTTACTATTGTGACTGTTGCGATGCCTAATTTTTTGAAATTTAACATCAGGAGATGATGTCACGATTTAATTTAAAACATTCTAAATAATTTTAGTTGGAGTACCAACCCTAATGGATTTTTTATCTAAAAGAGGAATTCATTTTAAGTACCCATTTCCAATAGAGTTAAGTTTAAATGGACTAACTCTTTTATTTTCCACGCCTTTGTGTTGTGCGTTTTTCAAACAATATCAAGAATTTCCATTTAACGATTTAGAGCAAAATGTTCAGGTAAATTAAGTATACTTAGTTTAATATTAAATGATTAACAGTAATAAAAAAAAGTAGCATTCAAAAAAGTACAAAAGCGTATACTCGTAAAAGCAAGGTGTCGATGTGTTGAAATTCTTAAAAACAATGTTTGATAAGTTTTTTGAATATAAAAAGTCAAATGTTTATAACAATGGTATAAAGGGTTAACGAACGTATGTACTGTACAGATATGGTTTATTTTTTTACTGTCACCATAAGGTATGATTTGAAAGTAGATCGTTGTATGTTTTAGGTTGAACTTACAGAAAAGTTCAAGGGTAATCCCCCTGCAAGTGTTTATTTCAACAAAGGCCTTTAACTTTTAACGATGAAACACTTAGAGACTCTATATATTGACAAATGTAGTTTTATTATAGACAGTGAAATAATTTTGTTGTTAATAAAAAAAAAACACTAATAGAAATTTTTATTTAGTTAAAAAGAGCGCTGTTATCGCAAATACTTTAATTTTCAATTTTTAATGAGGATACTTTTCTATCCAGAAATTCATTTAAAAGAAAATAAATTTTGAATTCATATACGTCGCGCCGTCTATAAAACAATAGTGGAAGGAATTTAAAACAAAAGAGTAATACATACAGTGTCCTCTCTGATATAAAAGCTGAGTTAACATTTACTGTTTCTCTCATACCATTATTATTCAAATTAACACGGAACGTGCTGCCGCCTCCGAACCGCTTGTGAACTACTCCCCAAAATATACTTAACATAGGCGTATCTGCAAACAACGAGTTGAAAGCAACTGTAGATTTATTATAAAAAATATAAATTCGTTCAATTTAGGCGCTTTACTGTTATTTTTCATTCGCTAATAATGCCTTTATAGCAATTTTACTCTTTATTCGGTATTTTTGATGTATTTAACAGTAAAATAATTGCTCTGGAATTGTAAAGCCGAATGTCACTGATTTAGTAAGCACCGCCCATTTCTGGAAATTAGAGAACACGGAAGGTGCTGACATCGATGAAGAATTTATTAACTCTAGTGATAAAAAAAAACTTTGTACAAATAATAAGCATAGGCGCGGTAATGAGGCGATAAGTAAGTGCAGTTAAAATATAAAATAACACAAAAATATTTATTTTATGTAAATGATCTTTTACTATCTATATTTTGACTAAATAAAATATTTGGAATAGATTAATAATGCCACAAATTGACTTTTTCTTAACACGAACTTTATTTATCAAAAACGTAATTCGCTTTAAAAAATCTTGATAACTGTTTGTACCTGAATTAATTCCGTATAATAAGAAAATTCAAACCTTCGAGCTTATCGTAAATATTTACTTTTTTTTTTAGTACATATTAGTATCCTATAAAATAACATTGTTTAATGTTATTATGCTCTGAAGATGGTCAGCTCAGTTGACGAAATGTTTCCTCGAAAGTTTTTCTTAATTGTGATTTCTGAAATATTCGTTACTAATTACTTCGGATATACATATACCTGCATTAATCATTGTTGAATGCGTTTTTTCCTATTTAATATTGAAACAATATACATATTTGCCTTTTGTTTATTATTAGATATCGAAGAGTTTTTTATTGTTTTTAATAATATTCCTGTAATAAATGGGGATTTTTATGCCTTTTCTCCGTGCTCCCTAAACATCTATTCGATGATTTGTTACGCCTATGAACTCGGTCTAAAATGTTTTGCAAAACTGTTTACGTTATTACAATAATCATAATAGTAATTTGTCTCACTCTACATCGCTATTCCTCTTTTTGTCTTACAGTCTAAAAATAGCGTGCGATCTTAAGATACGGATATTGCTATAATTTAAAAAAGACGTTCGTTGAAAATAATATCGTAAATAGCAAAATACCTACATACGTATAATTACAGATTATACCAAAAACTACAGAGATTTCACGTTTCATGTTTATAAAAAACGGTTTTGATTTATTAACTTCGGTAAAATTCTTATTTTATATTTATTTATTTAAACACAATTTTAATATTTGTGGACGTTTCGACCATTCAAGCTATATGGCCTTCTCAAGACAGTAAGATTTACATATATATTAATTAAGTAAAATTAAACTCTGTATTTTGGACCTCTCAAAAACTTACAATTCATATAAAAGTGTAAAATAATCTTCAAATCAACAACTACAGAACAATGGCATAAGAAAAAATAGTTTTGATATTTAGTTTATTATGATTATGAAAGTTAGAACGGCTATTTTATGAATTATGTTGTTTTTGTAATTTTATCGGTAATAAGTACTAGGCAGGTGCATGATTTTCGTAATTTATGGAACTTTTTATTATTTCTGTTCACTTCACATGCGTTAATGGTTTAAAACTTTGAAATTATCAACTTAAAAATATGAAAGGCTTATGTTTAATTGAATTACAGGAGATTAACATCGTCATAATAGATGAAGGACTCATACTCATCGATACATCTAACACGTGGGGCCACCTACACCTAAGTGTCTCTGCGCTGAAAACATTTCTAATCAAGAATGACGGTATGTTTGTCTTTGAGTTACACATTAATCAACATAATCATAAAGCAACANCACACTGGAAGACTAGAACGCCACTTTCTACAATTAATTAAGGTGAGAATACATTAATTCATTATTATTAATTGCTCTTTATTAATATGTAATGGCATTTCTGTTAACCATTATCTATTGTATAAATTGAGGTTATTGTGCATATATATTTTGATAATTTCTATTTTTCCACAGAGTAAATTGAAATTTATCATCGATCTATGGAATTTTTTTTAACCTCTTTCTATTGTCTGCATCACAAATTGACGTCGTGTTATTTGACATTATCTATGGTTGTAATGTAAAATGGCGTGAAAGTAACGCTTGTCATTTTATAATTCAGCTGTTTTACTTGCTTTTTGGTGCGTTTTTAGCTGTGTTAAATGTGTTTCTTAATTGATAGTGTAATTAATATGTCTTTTTGTCCATTTCTGCAGGTTATTCAACAAATGAGAGAGAATTAATGTTCAGTTTGATCATACTGAAACAGCCAATGTCTACATGGGTGTTGCCTTTGTGGACTGTATTCTTGATTTGCTGTTTCGTCTTCGCTTTGGAACATCATGCAGTTAATTTTCAACCCATGAGTGAGAGCAACCGGATGTTTACTTGAATTTCACTGAAATAACAAATTTTCTGCTACCGTATTCCTCCTGGAGTTGGTTTGCTTTTCACACCTGCAAACTTTGGAACATTACGGTCTACAGTTAATTAAGGTGAGAATACCTGATATAATTAATTTTAATTGCTCCTTATTAATCTGTTACCACCGTATCTGTTTCAGGTCGACGTTGGAGAAGACAAAGATGACCCCGTAGTTAAAATAGTCTCAATCTTGCATGCCCTATGTAGTAGAATACATCAAGTTCATTTTATTCAAATTAGTCTTTTATTTTGCATGTTTTTTGTAGTTTATTTTATTTAAATTTAATTTTTATTTTGCATGCTTGTTTTTGTTCATTTTTTTTGAAGTGATTGTCGATTGTAGATGTTTTTATTATTTTTTTTGTATGTTGTAGTAGTGTAGTAGTAGTAGTACTTCTAACTCGTTTAGTAGTAGTATAGTTTTAACATGTCTCTTGCTTACCTCTTCGCTTAGCTTACTGCATATTCTT